AAAATAATGAGATTTTTCACACAAATAAAAAAGAAACTTGTAAAAGTTATACAGAACCAAAACAAACAAGCAAACAACAAACTCAACTCTCAAATGCAAAACTGAATAAAATAAATAAAACAAAACATTATTATATTACAAACTTCAAAATATTCCACAATGCTGTAGTTATAAAGATAGCATGGACTGTCATAAACACATAGATCACATAGATCAATAAAACAGAATAAAAGCTAGAGGAGTAGTTTTGCATCTGTAGTCAACTGATACTTAACAAGGGTGCTAAAAAGATGCATTACAGAAAAAATAGTCTTTTCAATAAATGATGCTGGAGAAATTGGATATTCACATGTAGAAGAATGAGAGTGAATCAGTATTTCTCATCATATACAAATGTTAACTCAAAATAGACTGATAACTTAAGTGTAAGATATGTTATTATGAAGCTACAAGAAGAAAATATGAGTGAATACTTTACATTAGGCAAAATTTTGTTAGAGAAGACTTCAAAAACACAGGAAACAAAAAATGAATAAGATTATATCAAAGGAAACAATTATAAGTGTGAAGAGTGAACCCACAGCACAAGAGAAAATATTTGCAAAATATACATTTTCAAGGGTCAATATCCTGAAAATACAAAGAGCTCAACTCAATAGAAATGCATCCAATTTAAGAATGGAAGATAAAACTAAATGGATATTTCTCAGAAGATGGACAAATGTCAAAAAAATATATGAAAGTGCTCAATATCACTAATCATTAAAGAAATGTAAATCAAAACCACAAGGAGATAGGCCAGGGATTTGGCTCAGTGGTTCCACTGCCTGCCTCCCAAACATAAGGACCCGAGTTCGATCCCCCGTACCAAAAAACAAACAAACAAACAAACAAACAAACAAACAAAACCACAAGGAGATATCCCCTTATCCCAATAAGGAGGGAATTTTAGGTATGTATTATTATTTTCTGCAATTCCAAGACCATTCCTCTTGACAGATAAACAAAAGACTTCAGAAAACAATTACTTCAAGTAGAGTAGAAGGTCAAAGGTATCACTAAAGCCCCAGGTGACTTTCAGGAGAAAGTGACATTTCTTCAGAATTTATGAAATCTCTTTTGCTATTGTTCTTAAGTAACATACTATGAAATAAATGATAACCATGACATAGTAAGGTCCTAAATGCTTTTCGTAATTATCTCATTTGCAGATAAAGGAGCTGAAATTTATGTAGTGCATAATATCTCTCTGTCACAAGTGATATGACAAAGGATTCTAACCCAGCTGAACTAAATAAAGCCTTTGCTTTTCATCACTGCTTTCTATTACTCCACAATCTCAAACTCTGGGCTACTAGATTGATTTCTGAGTTTATCCTTAGTTCAAAGGAAGGAAAACACAAGAGACATTTGATGACCTCTTTTAGTTACCTTTCAGGAGGAGGTGCTGCCGCCAAAACACCTGGAGACTTCGAAAGGCCAGCAGTGACCAGTGCAACTCTGAAGGATGCTCTAGGAAGAAGCAAAAGAAACAGAAGTTCCACTAGGAAAAGTTTTTCACTTCAGAGGTCACAGTACTTTATCTCTATGTCCCCAATCTAATTTTCCAATCACTTCCATTTTTAGTGTAACTGATCACTGTATCTTTCTGTTAACTTAGGCTGCAGGATGGCAGTTTCTGTTGTAAATCAATTTTATCTGGGTATTATATACATATTGTTTTCATGGTGATTTATTTTATTATACTTTAATATTATTAGTAGTTAAATGAAATAATAGTAATCTACAACAAAACTCTTCAAGATAGATTTATTAGCACATGGAAGGTTATAGTAGAAATTTATTCAAGAAATTTGCTGCTTAAGATTTATATTGGAAGAGAGAAGATTGTAAGATAGAACCTAGAACACTTTTATAAATAAAATACAGCCAAATTCCTTATCCAAAGGGTCAGAGAATTACTACATGGGCCAAATACGGGTGGCAACCTGCTTTGAAAATGAAATTTGATTATGTTGTAGCCACACACACTTGTTTACATTTTATCTGTGGCTGCATTTGTCCTACAATAGCATAGAGTAACTGAGTATTGCAATAGAGGCTGTACGGTCCACCAAGGCTAAAATATTTACTATTTAGTCCTCAGAGAAAAAATTTGCCTGTCCTTGGACTACACTGCTGTAGACCTGGTTGTTCTTATTTCCATTTGCAATACTGGTTTCCTCACTAAGCAAGAACGCCAACACTACACAGGTTGAGTTTTTGTACTATGTATATTTCTGGTAACAAGATCTCCCTTGATTAAATCACTAGTCTAATATAACTGTTGGAATTGCAGTAACCTTAATATAATTGAATTTTACTTTGCATTATGTAAAGCACAGATCAGGTATATTTGATCATACTCTGATCCACAAGTCCAGGTTCTTTCCTTCTACAGGCTACTGGTTTGGTGGTCTTTAAGATATTTCTCACAATGGGTAGAGTAAATGAAAGATCCTGGAGCATAGGACACAGGACACACCTGAAAGGGCTGCTGTCACTTTTCCCCAGAATCCGTCAGCTAGAACTCAACGGTAGGCTTCGATTAACTGCAAGGGATGGTGGCACATACAGACAATCTGTGCCCTGAAGAAAGAGAAAAAGAAATTAGTGAAAAGCTAGCCCGTCTCCATGTTTAGTGCGATGTTTAGTACAATGGTATGAGGGAGTTGAAAGGACTAAAAGTTACTTCCTAAGCTTTTAATACCAGAAACCATGTAGATGGTTCCACATCTATGAATGTTAGAGTACAGAAGGTGAAGAAAGATACTGGAGGGTAGGGAAATAATAAAAACATATGAATTAATTCCATTTTAAAGTATAATTTTAAAAATATTTCAGGATAGGCCAGGGATTTAGCTCAGTGGTTCCACCGCCTGCCTCACAAACATAAGGATCTGAGTTTGATCCCTGGTACAAATTTTATATATATTTCAGGCTTTCAAAGCAGTGATTTCTAACATGTATTTTGGAAACACACAAGATATATTAGAACTGAAGTTGTAACCTAAACATGATTAAACGTGAAAAGTGGCAATAAATGACACAAGATTGACTTAGAACTGTACATAAGAGGTAAAAACAGGAAAAAAGCATAATGTATAACACCTGCTTTAGGACAAGGTAATAGAGACACACAGATGAGAAAAATATTCCTTGCTTTCAAAAAGCTCGCTGTTGGGTCAAAAGTCAAGCAAATTTCTATTTACTACTTGTGTGATAAAATCTACAGAAGATTTACTATATGGAATCAGAATAAAGAAAGGGCAACGCGCATTCAGTTAATGCACTAACTGAATGAATGACTTCAAATCTATCATACCAATAAGCTTAGCATTTCTTGGTGGTTCTTCTCAAATCTCACATAAAAAACGAATCAATTCTCTTAGAATGACACAGAAAAGTTGATTTCTGCCTCCACTACTGTATACTTATTTTTATTAAATGATTAATCCATGGAAAATACTGCACTGCTTTATTTATGTGTTTTTCATTTAAACTTCATAACATTATCTGATATGGATTTTTATTTTCATGAAAATTCCAAAATGTATGAATTATTTCCAAGAACAGAATAGAAAACTGGAGTAACAGAGAGATTAGGTAACTCACTACGTCAAACTGAGGTGTGTTATGCTATTCATCACTGCACAGTAGCCCCATTTGTACTTTTTGCAGAATATGATCAAAGTATATGATAAAAAATTCAGTGGATGTTTAAATATTAAAAATTATTGCAATTAATATTTCCCCAAAATATCCCCCCTTTGCTTCAATCACACTTATTCCATAATTTTTGCTACTTTCTAAAGTAGTTCTGGATTTCCTCTTTTGTGTTAAGCTGCACTCTCCTAGTTTTCCCAAATCTCGGTTGTGAATTGCTCCAAAACACTTTTCATGGTCATTGACTCTGTAGAAGAGTCCGAAGTTGTACAGTGTCACATTGAGTGAATGAGGTGTATGATGTTTTTCTAAGACTGTTGGATGGTATTTGACAGATTTTTCACTGATATTTTGATCACACCTAATAATGACACTTACTAAAGAGGATTTCCAGAACTGCTTCAGAAAATGACAAGAATGATAGGATAAGTGTGTTCAAAGCAAGGAAAAGTATTTTGAGAGCAATTAATGATAGCATGTCTTTTACTGTAATACATTAAAAATTATACATTTGCAGTATATTTTGATCATACTGCCTATAACAAAAGCTATTGAAAATTGACACAAATCCTATATCATTTTAATATTTCTTTCATTTTCCAAGTTCTCTACTGTCAGTATTAAGTAAATCAGTTCTGTGCACTTTGTGGTCACAATTGCAAATTACACGGATTCTCACTTGTTTGTCTCTTCCCTTCCTCTGCATAGCTGCAATAAAAAGGCAAACAAAATAAATATACAAAAATCTTACAATCGTCAAGGAAGGTACTAAAAATGTTTACATGGTTTGAATTGTCCGTATTTTTACAAATGCCTGAATCATTGATGCAATGTTTAGATCTTTATTTTGAAAAAAGCTGGAAATTGTTTCAATAAAGTTAACAGAAAATATAGTTAAATATATGAAAGGAGAGGAAGTAAAATAATCCAAATACAAGGTGTCTCAAAAGTCAGAAATAGTGACAAATATTATTGTGCTATGGTTACCAGAACAACTGAAAACACCTTACAAACTGCTACACTGACAGAGAATATTAGCAGTAATCTTTATAGTATTGCCTGCAATGAATGAAATTAGTATTACTTGTTCTTTAGGAATTTGGATATATAAGTAATCACTGGAAGACACTAAGTCAACAGGATTTAAGTTAAATTATGATCAACATAAGAAATAGTTATTCTTTATATTTTTAGATTTAAATATAAATTAACATTGTGATGTAAAATATTTCCTTTAGAGTATTAATTTCTAGCCCTTCATCTAAAATAATTGCCAAAATTATAATTATATTGGTTCATTTTGTCATTCCATTGGGAATTTAAAAGCATTTGTTTTCACAGTTGCAACTTTTGTTTTAACATCTTGAAATCTTTGACAGACTTTTTGAGAAGCAATCATATCAAGAACAAACTTCTCTTCACAGTGTCTTTTATGTATTTCCTGAGCCCTACATGGGGGAAAAAGAAAAACAATGTGGTAGTTTTATATTATTGAAATCATGACAACTAAACCTTAGCAATGAAAATTAGATTCCACCAAAACACATATATAAATCCTAAAAAGAACTCTTTATTTCTAGAATTTTATATCATTAAATAATATTCATATTGGACTAATATTTGTTCAGATTTCCATTGCCTAAAACTGAAAATTCTTACAAACCATCTCTTAGACTCCCCAAAAGGCATTTGACAGCCATGTCACAATTCATAGAACTTCTACCTAAGACTCTTCTAAAACCAGGCTTCTTCTAGGACACTGCTATAGACAGAATGTGTCTCCCCCAAATTCATGTTAAAACCCTAGCCCCAGCACCTTAGATTGCAACTGCATCTGGAGCTAGGGCTTCTCAGAGGTTAGTAAGGTTAAACTAAGTCACATGGGTAGGTTCTGATACAACGTAATGTTCTCAGAAGAGTATCAGTGAGCACACTCACAGAAGGAAGGCCCTATCAGAACACAGCTAGAAGGTAGCTGTCTGCATGCAACCCACAGGGTCAAGATTCAAATTGGAAGTTTAGTAAATAAATTAATACTCTAAAAATTCATACAGGAATATTTAGCAATTCCTTTTACTGAATGGATAAAACTGGCATTCATCAGAACAGGAAATGTAGGAAGAACAACCAGATGGGAGAAAAATTATAGTTTTCTTTGAGTAATGTTGATTTTCAAGAGCCTGGCTATCCATGGTTACACCCAGGGAGCTTAATATCAGGAGCCATTGAGAGACAAGAGTTAAGGGACTGGGGGATTTGGCTCAGTGGTTCTGGCACCTGCCTTGCAAGCAGAAGGACCCGAGTTCGATCCCCGGTACCAAAAAAAAAAAAAAAAAAATGGAGGTAAGAGTTAAGAATTACGAGTTAGTACAGCCATTCTTGTTTAAAATACAGCTCTGAAGCTCACAGTATATTAGATGATTCATATAAGCTCTCTCTACCCATTTTCATGTTTAGTCAAAGGCAGTCCAACTCACAAGGTATAGTAAGAAGCTACTGAACTGATATTTTGAAAGTAAAGAAGAAAAACCTTAAAAGAATTTAAAAGAAATACCCAATATTCAATTGCATTTCTACATACTAACATTAAACAGTTGGAAAAATGAAAATGAACAGAGAACCATAAAATAAGAAATGAATTTAATAGAAGAAAAAAAAGATATCCGAGGCTTATACCTGAAGATAAGAAAATATAGCTGATGAAAATTTAAAAAAACCTTAATTAGTGGTCAATTATAACATACCAATATTATTAAGCTTTCAATTCTCCCAAAATTGATAATTAGATTCAAAATAATGCCCATTTGTATGGCAAGAACATTTGGGTAGAAATCAACATTTTCATTTGTTTTAAATATATATTACATTTTAGACATTTAATTTAGACCAACTCAGAATGCATTAAATTTAAGTGTTTTGAATTTATTAAGTTGTAATTTGGTATGGAAATGCAGTAGAATTGTAAACCAAAGCAACTAGCAACAACCAAAGCAAACTTGAATAAAGAAGGACAAAACTGAAATTTCCATTTTCCACCCATTTGTGTGACAAAATGTGCTTGCTTACAGCAACCTTGTGTCAGCTCACAGTTTCCATGGGTCAGGAGTCCGGGCACGGCATGCTCAGTAGAGTTACATGCATAGTTCTCATAAGGTTAAAATCCAGATGTTATCCATGGCTATAGCTCTCAGTCAGATCTTTAGGGTCTCTTTCATGAGCTCTGTCTTCGAAATTCATTTTCTTCTCATACATGTATGTGCCCCTTCCATTTTCAAACCAGAAAGTAATGTCAAATGCTTCTCAGACTTTGAATCTTTCTGATTTTCTCTTTTACTTCTGCATTTAAAGTCTAATATGATTACACACTGCCCAACTGGATAATCCAATAATCTCCCTATTTTAATGAGGCTTTACCGAAATCCCTCATTACATATGCAGAGTCACCTCTACCAGAACGTTCACAGGTGTGGTATCTCAACATATTATTAGACCTGGAGATTAGAATAGGCTATCCACTTTTCTGGGAACCATTCTTTTGACTAATACAGGTGGTCTCATATTATTTGATTTTAAGGCTTACTAAGAGTAGATAGAGAGAATATTAGCTTTAAATAATGGAAACCTAATCCAGAGACAGGAGAAAAGGAAGTTAGGGTAAATTCATGATTTTATAGGATTTTATAGAAATGGATATAGTAAAGCCAGGGAGTGCAAATTGGAGGCCTACAATTTCTTTGGGAAATGAAGTAGTGTACTGAGAAGTAGAGGCCATATGTGTGTGCACAGGAAGCTCTAGAGTTGGAGAAAGTTTGAAACTGCTCTCGTGTGTAGTAAGAACAAGGACAAGTGACAGCACAGACTAAGTTGTAGCCCATAAAATTAACACTGGCATAAATCTACAAGTCAGTAATTTTTTTCTTGCCATTTTTAATCTGAATGAATAAAGCGAAGACAAATATCTGAATTGTTCTAAGGTAAGAATTTGTGGTGGAGGGGAGTTAGCATTGGAGATACAATGAAACAGAAGGACTCCAGAGTTACTGGACAAAATGAACAAAATAACCCTGGACCTTACACTAGAAACAAAAAGAAAATAAATTCATAACAGAGGTTACTTAAGCAAGGAACATGATCACATATTTGAAGAATTTGTGGGGTGAAAGAAAAGAAAGAAAATAGTTGAAAAGATAGATTTTAATCACAAATAAATGTAAAATTAAGATTTGAAAAGTAGGGTCTTTCCAATTAGTGAGAGGGTCTTTCTGTGTCTATGCAAATGAGTTTATCAATGATAGGTACGATAAAGATTGTAGAAACTCAATAATGTGTCTGTAAGGCCATTAGGAGGTAGTTCTCATGAATCTGAAAGTTAGCTATGATTATGGTGAAGGTTGACTGCAGGAAAGCTTTATAAATAAGAATACAAAGGCCATAGTGAATAACGAGGGTAATATGAGATCAAATGGGACCAAATAAATAGAAAATAATAAAATTGTATAACTGCTTTATTTGCTAGACTTTCACGCTAACCAATTACTTCAAAATGGAAACCATGATGTCCTGTGCTGAGCTGTGTCATCACATTCTGGGTCACAGACAAGAAGAACCTCTTGGGAGCCCCATGACCAGCTTTTATCAGTACAGAGATGTGCTCATTTCAACCTCTTTAACTAATGATTAAATTATTCCTGTGAATAATTTATTCACTTCCTAAATTAGAAATCTTTTCTTCTTTTCTCCTTTTTTTCCTCCCTCATTCCACAGAAGGAGCAATATTTTCAGTAATGACTTCAGTAATTATTGAGATTCATCAAAATGCTTACAGGTCAAGTGACTGATAAATTAATGAAGATCAACAGTCTAAAAACGTATCAGCATTGAATAAAACTGTTGAAGTTTATTTTTTGAGTCATAGTTCCTTTCTGCTTGTGAATATTCAATCTGTATTTAGAAAAATTTAGAGTAAAACTCAGGAATATTTTTGGGACATACTGCTGATATAAGCAATACATTGCCTTATTCCTGCTTGCTTTCAAGGATTGTATCTTTGCAGAAACTTGCAAGAAAAGATAGTTAAGTTTGGTACGCCGGGAAGATCATTTGACTATATCTGGCATAAATTGATTGCTAGTCAATTTACTGTCATAAAAACAAAACTGATTAAATAGATTTTTATTTTGATATACTAGATTAGCCTTCATTGCCTCTTCCAAAATAAAATTTTAATAAAATATAGAAAATTATTTCCAAAAGTTATATATATATGGATAAAGTATGCACTGAGAAAAATAATTTTAAATTTGTGTCAGAATAATAGATTTTTTCATACTTAAGAAAATACTGCTTATAGCCAGGAAAAGGTAAATGTATTTGTATTAATTAAAATTTTCCTAACTGAGCATACTGGTACAGGTCTGAAACAAGAGGCTGACACAGGAGCAAAGCAAGTTCAAGTCCAGCCTGGGCAACTTAGTGAGACCTTCTATCAAATTAAAAAATGGGAAAGCCTAGGAGTACTGTTCAGAGGAACAGCACTCACCTAACATGTGCAAGGCTCCCAATTCAGTCTCCAGTCTCTCTCTCTCTCTCTCTCTCTCTCTCTCTCTCACACACACACACATATGCGCGCGCATACAATTTTATAATTTTATATTATATTTGTTAATCATAGTGATTTTTAGAGTAAAAAGTGGCTATAAAGAGCTCTAAGTATTTTAATACAAATCCTAAACATTTATATACTTGTACATTGTTAAATATATACATATACAATATGTATAATAATATTATACATATATAGTTAGATAATAGGCAGATAGATGGGACACTTAAAATATCACTAGTGCAAAACTTTGGTTGATTAGCATCAAAATATGAAAATGTGAAAGATTAAAAAAAAGTAAAAAGAAAAAAGAAAAAAAAGTTGAAAAATTTTTGAAAAAGTAAAATGAAATTACTTGGCATTCTGTCTACCATACCATTTGGAGCCGCCTGTGCCTTTCAATCTCTTTGAGCTATTCTACTACCCTATAAATTGAAAAAAATGTGAAAAATGTAAGTGATTCATTTTTAATAGAAATGTAAATGCATCTTGTCCAGTGAGTATACAATTGATTATCTCCTGGTAGATACTGACTAGTTCTGCCTATACCTCTAAATGTATTTTGGTATTTTTTATTTTCTACATATATTCATAATCTAAATTCTCATTTGGACTAGTTGTAATATCCTATTTTATTTTGCATTACTGGATTAAATAAAAGTTTCAAGTGTATACATATTATATTTATATGAGCCACATATTTTATGTTCCTAAAATAAATTCGACAACTAATGAAATTTAAATTCACTACATATAGATTGAAATATATTGAGTCAATTATCTTGGAGCATCTATCTCATTTAAATAAAAAAGTCTTCATCATAAAAAGTAAAATTTTTTTTTGCATTTGTCTAAGACAAACTGTTCAGTTTGTTCTAGGAATTGATTTCTCATCTATTTCTTGAAAAGAAAATTTCATGGTAAAATACATATGTAAAATTCACTGCTTCTTTCTATAGGATTCCTAATGCTCTTTATTATGTGAAAGTCCACTGAGACTTAGTTAATTTTTCCCTTGAGTTCACATCTGTTTTCACGGAATTACACTTTCAACTGCTCTCCTGTATAATTCTTCTTCTACAGGCAGAAAACTATTCATCAGCTCCTTCTTCTCCTCACACTTTACCTCTTCAGAACTTTCTAAATTTGCTCGTTGTAATAGTCTTTCAACATCCTATCCTTTTCCTAAATTTAATATATGATAATACTTTTATTTCAACTTTTTGTGTGATAATTCTAAGCTATGCTCGTGTTTGCCATTGGAGCATGAGTTTTCAGAGGAGCAAGGATGTTTGTTATTCCCTTTGTAGGAAAGGCAGAGGAGAACTGAAGTGTACCATCACTTTGATATTACATTAAGCCATCTATGTAGAAGTTTTGATGGAGTGCAGAAAACACTATCCACAAATATGGCACCTTAGCATACTGAGTTTTTTAAATTGGAGAAAACTGTGAAAACTGTGGAAGCAAAAAGATTTCTCTGAAGTTCTTGTGATCCCGTCCTTCTAAAGACACTGATATGATTGATTTCCTGTTCTGTACCTGGATGGAGGGGATGTTACACAAAGAGGCCACAAAGAATATGAACAAACAATCCTCCCTAAGTCCTGCAGAGTCTATTACCAGTTAGTTCATCCATCCTTTTTGTCCAACCATGTTTCGATTCAACAGTTCATTTTTCATCAAAAATTTAGGCATAGTCTTTCCTAAACATCTGGCTCTTCATTTCTGAAGGTTTCTGTGCCTTGTAGATTTTTTTATTAAATAAATTTTTTATGGTTTTTTCTAGTAAATCTGTCTTTTGTTAAAGGAGTCTCAGCCATGAACCTTGTGAGAGGTGAGGAAGGACAGATTTTTTTCCTTCCAGTTCCCCATTACTCACATTTATTATCTGCCCCAAAGTTTAATTCTATCTTGATAATTTTTGTATTATTGCTTGTATGATTATTTAACTCTGGTAGTACTACTGCCTTGTTCCTTAAATTCTACCTAGATTTTCAGTTTCTTGGGCCAAATGATGTTTATCACCCCATATTACTTGTGACAGGAATCTTTAAGAGCTAAAAGGGAATTACTACTTGGATTTAAGTACTCTGTAAACTTAAAATAAGTACTCCTTGGGAAAAAGGCCAATGATCAGGAAGAAAAAGAAAAAATAATTGTGGACAAGTATATTGTCATGAAATAAGCACTTGTGCCAAAACAGATAACTATTCTAATTACTAGTGAAGCTAGTTTCATAGCTTAGTTAATTATATTTTATACAATTCATTTAATAATCCTAGCTGGAGATGTAGCTCGAGCTAAAGGTGCTTGCTCAGTATTCACAAGGACCTGGGTTTAATTCTCAGCACACACACACACACATACACACACACACACACACACACACACATCTTCATTATACAAACTCTGGAAAAATATGCACTGTCTCATTCTAGTAGCTAACATGTGGAGAATAAATAAGCAAAAACTCTCAGACTTCTCAGAGACTATAGTATAATTTAAATTAAATTATACCTATTACTAATTGAAATTTATAGTTATTTTCCTTGATAAATACTTACTGAATGTGTTAATTAAACACAGTAGTAGTCCCTGATGTGGAAAAATGGACCAAATTACTTTATAAAGGACTTCGCAATCTAAGTAACTATGATATATGCTTTTTACTGACAACTGTTAAGACTTGAGATGATAAGGAATATAAAGGTGAAATACAGTTGCACACAGTCAACTATTGGCCACTTTTGATGTGTTTCTTTCAAGGAAAGAATGTCTTTTCCTTCACATTGAATCACTGCTTACTCACTAATTTGAAAACCCCAAAGCATTCTGATTTGCATAAAATGTAAAATACAGACAGCGTTAACAGTGTCCTAGCAGAGTACACAGGTGAGAGAAAAGCATCAGCAACCACAGAGATAAAAATCCGAAAGCTCGATAGAATGGAAATTGATTCATTCTGTCTAGAGCAGAGTGCTGTTAGGTGAAGAGGGCAGAAACTACAGTAGAAAATTTAGAGTGAGATGATATTAGAGTAGAGCATATTTTCTGAAATGCCACTCGGAGGAGATTAAATTTCATTCCTTTGGGAATTGCAAGCTATCAACATATTTAAGTAGGAAATGACACAACCAGAATTTTATTTAGAAACAGTTGAGGTCCATATGTTAGCAAACATTTGTGTGAGGAAGAACTGAGAATAGAGGTAGGACTGTCACGAGGAAGGATAATGTGAATTCTTATATTAGAAGAGTTTTAACTGGAAGAGAAGAGGTAATATTAAAAAATGACCTATTTGAAACACTCCTTCTAGAAGTAATATGATAGGAAAACACATTTGATTTTGACAGCGAGGGAGGCTGAAGTGTAAAGGACTCTGGGATTTCTGGCACTGGCCAGAAGGCTGATGATAATGTTTAGGACAAGAACATCTAAATTCAGCCGGTTTTGAAGAGTGAGACTGAGAGGTGGAGGGAAGAGAGAGCTACTGTCTAAACTTTCATAATAAATGTGTGCCTCATTTCCCCTGTTTGTTTACATTTCCAAAGTAGAACATAGCATGCTACAACCAAAATATCATTTATTAAACTTCAGTATTCAGTATGCAATATTCACATGTATTTGGCTTTAAAAGCTTCTATCATATATAAATTGTGCTTACCTATATTCCTTCATGTGCTTATGTAAAATCTTCTGATATTTTTCTGCTGTAAGTTCTTCCTGAACCATCAATTTTTTCTCTTTTAGGACAGCCTCACTCTTGTTCATTCTGTCGATTTTAGCCATTCCTTTGAGCAAGAGGGTACGCTCATTATTTAAATTTTGAATTAATAAGTGGTCTGTAGCCTTTTTTTTTGTTCTAGAAAGAGCATTCTTCTCTCTTTTGCTTTTGCAAGATAGTTTAATCTTTCCTGTAAAAGTCGCTGTAAACCTCTCTGAATTGTCTTATATCTGTCAATTAGTTCTTGTGCAATATATTTTTTCTTGTTTAAATTTTCATAAGCAGTTAGGCTAATTCTTTCTTGGGCAGCCTGCGCTGTGGCTACAGCTGCTACTTTTTCTTTATGGAGTTCCTGCTTCTTTTGTTCTATGTAATATTTATCAACATAATTAAGCATTTGGAATTTTATTCCAGGTCCCTGTGTAGGAAATCGCTCTCTTCTCTTCCTCTCTGATACTGTGTCGTTTTTAATTAGTGGTTTTGTATGAGTGATAGAAAATGGTTGGGTGAGGGCAGGAAAATAAACTTCTTGCTTTTTTTTTTTAATGCATCAGCATACTTCAGTGGACCTGAAGTGCATATGGGTAGTTTGAGCGCTGATATACTAAAACTGGCATCCAATTCTTCATCCTCAATTTCATCTTTAGATTCCTGACCTACATAAGACAGTAGATGAACATAAAACACGAGCTAGGTTTATTTGCTACCCAGACTATTTTGAAAGGTGTATTAATAAAACTGATGAGAACCTGTTATTTACTCTACTAGACATCATTTTCCCCAAGTTCTTTTTCAACTTGGGAGTTGGAAGAGGAAAATGACTATTACAATGTTTTTAACACATAAATGCATCGAATCAGATTTCTATATTTTCTGTATTATCTTTAATACTATTTAAGTTACACTGATGCAATATGAGCATCTTCTCTCATACACAGTACTGATACATATTTTTCATATAGCTTGATAAAATACAAACTAGACAAATTCAACTGAGCAGAGTATAACTCAGTCAAAAGCAATTTATTCATCAGCAGCTTCCAGAACTAGGGGGAGTTAGTAGGAAGTACTTCTTCACAGAAAGTACAAGTGACATGTACGGAAGTAACTTGGTTGGTTACAGCTCAGTGTTTGCCTTACTTGGACATAGTCTGATCCAACTGACTGCCTCTGACTGCACGAAGCTCAGTGGCTCTGATTGGAATGTGGCTTAGCTGTGTGTTACAAAAATACTCTCCTTAAATGAGGCTTTAAGTTTGTTTACATACAAGTAAGGTTGGCTGGTTATGTAAGACAGAAAGATATAATGGCAGCTGCAGGTCACATTTGATTTACCAATCTAGTGATGTTTACCAAGAACACTGTAATTGTAATCAATTTTGTTATTTTTCTTAACTCTGGTAGAAAATGATAGTTGCCTAAAAAAAATTTTTTTTGTCTTTTTTGGATAGACAAAGAAACTAGGAAAGGAAGGGAAAAGAGTTCAAAAGAGAATTAAAGGAAAAATGGAAATACAGCTTTTGCAAATGGAAAGGGGAAAAGAGTTGGAGAGGGAAGGGAAAGATGGGAGGGGAAGGGGACAAAATCGAGTTCAGATGGGATCCTGTACCTTCACACGACAGGTCTTGGTTCTCATTTTTTCTCCTTTTCCCTGCCCTCACTTCACCCCCCCACCATTTACAAACACTTCATTTCCATTTTTTCATTTTCTCAAAGTTTTTTCTTTTCCCTTATTACCTTTCCCCTACCTGGGATACATTCTTGATCTAAACCACAACAGATTTTATGATATTAAATAAAAATGGAACTTTTTTATTTTTTAATGTTGTTGAAAATCTTTCTTCCTTAATCATCTGTCATTCTTGGAACACCCTTTTTTCAAACTCTGTAATACCAATCTGTACTCTTTCTTCTACCTTTCACATTCTTCCTACTTAGAGTGGTTTACAGGCACTTCCTTTTCTACCAAATCTCCTCACGTTGGACTTCTGGAGGACTTTGTACTACGCCCCCTTTCATCTCTCTCTGCTTTGTAAGTGGATACTGCTCACAGATATAATTGCTAATGTCTCAAATTTTTCATTTCTGCTTGAAAATCTTTTAGGTGCATTTTAAGCTTGGCACCTTACCAAGCTCTTCTTTGCTGCCAAAAATCTTTACTCTCTAAATAAGCCCTTCTTATTTCAGTAAATAATACCTAATAGTTTAGAGTCCCAATTAAGCTTTATCAATATGCATTGTAGATTTTAGCTCCAAATGTAGTTCAAATTAATTGATCTTTCTTCATCTCCTTAACACCACCTCTTATTTTAACTATCTCAATTGCTTCATATGCAGTGTCTACATTTAGTAACATATAAGCAAATACATTGTTTACTTGTCACGAAATCTTCTAAATCCTTGTAACTACATGTTTATATCCAAGATATGCATGAATGGTGGGGTAATTATCTAGAAAAATTATTGACCGTCAGAATGACAAATGACAAAAATAATGCCAACTCATTTGACTACAGTTTTATAAGTGAAAATTGGATTAGACTTGTTCAAAAAATGCTGGGTAACTATTTTGAACCATGGTGCTGAAAAATGAAGATTGTCCTCTCAACAGTTACATTCTACTAAAGGTGGCAAAGTTAAAAAATTCAAAGTATTGTGGCAAATATTACATTATACACAAGGAGCCATGAAGCCACAGAAAAAAAGTATTTTATCCGAGCTCTGCCAGGATACGTTAATTATTTTGGCAGAGATAGGATAAAATGTTCAAGGGAAAGTGAACAAAGATTCTCTCTACCAAACTTGAACTAGTCTTTTCTGATTTCTCTTTCTGCCTTGGGCTCTATACTTTGATCTATTTATTCCTGTTTTAGCAAGAACTCTGCAAAATCAGTTTAGCAAAAAATTGGCAGCCTTGACAATTGATCAAATTTCTCATCTCCCAGTCTCTACATCTTACCAGCCTGGCCTGTCTCACAAGCATTTTGTAGAGTCATTTTTGCAATAATCTCCCTTCTGTATAGCTCCATCATCAAGGGGTGGTTATTTGGTAGAGGATGGAGATTAGGATCATCCCTAAATACAATAAAAATAAATGGTGATTTATAGCCAAGGGGCACAGTAGGGGATTGATGGATGAAAATTACTAAGAATAGTCTTCTTATCTAGGGAAATTCTTGGTAGGTTGATTCCACTAAATTCTTGCTGAAGACAGGGGCAATAAGATAGAGTAGGTGGATTAACTGGGTTGATACAAGACAGCAAAGGATGAAAACTGTGGGTAGTTTTATGTCTAATACATACATAAGAAATAGGCAAAACATAAAAAATTGGGGGTCACGGTTGCTGATAAATAAGTTTCTATAACAATCACTATTTGCAAAGGGAACTGGTGCATGTCTTCACTCAAGTTATCACAGGAAGTCCCAATCTACACCTGAGGTCCTAATTAAGTTATTAATAGCAACTTCTTTCACTTTTAGAAGTGACACACTTTGGAAGACAACTTGCACTGTCTCCTTAGCTACAGGCACACTGACCAATGGAGTACAAATAGGAGAGTAACACTACTGTTTTCATTGTTTTAAAGTAAGAGTTCTAGCAGAATGTACGAGACTTGGTAGTTACAAAATAAATGTTTTGGTAAAAACTTAGGAGAGTTCTACAGCTCTATGGAAGTTGAGACTGTGTCTGCTTTGTTTATCACTCTGTGCCAAACACTTGGAAGAATCCCTAATGCATGGTAGGCCTCTAATAAATATGCATCTAATGAACATTTTCTCTAAAGAAAGCTAAAACATCTAATCCTAGTTTTTTGAGGTATTTTTACACAGATTTCCACAGTGGTTGCACCAGTGTACACTCCCACCAGCAGTGGAGCAGGGTTCCTTTTTCCCCATAACCCCACCAACATTTGTTATTGGTTGATTTCTTGATAGCAGCTATTCTTTGTGGGGTGAGGTGGAATCTCAGTGTTGTTTTCATCTGCATCTCTTGAATGACTGGTGATATTGAACATATTTCATATGTTTATTTGCTGCTTTTACTTCTTTGTCTGAGAAATGTCTGTCCATTTCAGATGCCCATTTTTGAATTGGGTCTTTATATTTGGGATAATATGACTGACATGCTTATTTACTGTTGGGATTTAAGTTATTTATTACCACTTACCATCTCAATGTCCATTTCATGCCCATTTTTGAATTGGGTCTTTATATTTGGGATAATATGACTGACATGCTTATTTACTGTTGGGATTTAAGTTATTTATTACCACTTACCATCTCAGATAGTAAATGGAGTCAGGACAGGTATAATTTGATGGATTGCATGTTAAGCAGAGGCAATGGTAAGTGCAAAGGCTCTGAGTCAGGGAGAAGCTTGGAGCAGTAGGTAGGGAAGAGTAGTGTGAAGTTACAAGGATTAGAGGTCCTATTTAACCCAGATATTCCCCTGCTGAATATCTTCCCGAAAGAATTAAAAGAATCATACCACAGCAATATAAGTGCACCCATGTTCATAGTGGCACAGTCTGTAATAGCTAAAATTTAGAAACAGCCTAATTGCCCATCAACTAGAGAGTGGATAAAGAATATGTGTTGTTGGGTGGTTTTTTTTTTTTTAGATAAAGAATAATAAACTAGAGAATTTGTAGCTAAATGGACCCACATTGAGGCCATACTCTTCTTAAGTAAAATAAATAGGACACACATGTGTAAATACTCAATAGTTTCTCTGGTGTGAGAAACTGAAAGTGTAAATAAGAATCAAAATGTATACTAGATAATGTGAAATAGGAAGAAAATAGCAAAAGGGGAAGGAGAAGTGGGAGGAGTAGGGGAAAGTAAAGAATTTTGAACAAATATGAAAAAAGGAAAAAATGGAAACAAAGTCTTTGTAAATAGGGAGGGGTGGAGGAAGGGAGGGCAGGAGAATGGGGAAAAATAAGACCCAAGATACCTCACGTAAAGGTGCACATTCCCAGTGATGAGTGTCACCATAGTGTATACCTAAAATGTGCCAATAAAATTAATGAAGGAAAAGAAAGGAAGCTAGCACGGTTCAGGAGTACTCTGCAGTGTAGGTACTGAGAAACTGATAATAAACTTACACTTCTCTCTCAACTCCTTTCACTTTCCTTTCTATATTCCCAATATTTACCACAATTCCTTTTCATAATCCTACACTTCAAATAAAATAGTCCTCACTTCTCAATAGTACCGAGATACTTCTCATCTTTGACGCATCTTCTCTAATTGATCAAGGCAGTCCAATTTTCATTACTATATAAAATGAGTATATTCATCTTAACATAAATGCCTTTACCATAAGCTATAGATAAGAAATGAGATTTTTGTATAAATGTCAACATTTATTTTAATATTATAAGTGATATATTATTGGCCTCTTTTCAGGAAAAAAATCTAAACTTAAAGAAGTAAAGTAACTGGCATGCTGGAGTAAGATTCAACTATCTGGAAAAAATTTCACACCTGAGAACACCGAAGGATGAACAAAAGCATCTAAAGTTTAATGCTAAAAGAAAAACATCAATAGTCTTACAACAGAATCCAAAGAATCACAACTTAACATTTGGGGGGCCCACACCCAAAACATATAATGTGAATGAATATTATACCATAAAGGGTGGTAAGAT